ATTAAATAAAAACTCAAAACCAAACTAAAATGCAAATATATAATATATTTAAATACGAATTTAAATTCATGTAAAACCTGTAGTTACATGAATATAGAATAAAAATAATATAATCTGCAAATAATATTCCTTAAGTGTGAATGCAAACCAGCTATCCAGAGAGTAGACCCCAGAGGTACTGCAAGGCAGCTTTCAATTGGACAGGACACTGGGAAGGTCACCTCAATCAGTGCTCTTCGAAGCATGGTCCATGAAATGGTGCTGGCTCACAAACTATTAGTTACCAGTCCCAGATAAGATAATTAGAGCAATTGACAGTGGGTGTGTAAAGACTGCATAGAAATTTAACATTTTTACAAAATCCATGCACATCACCAGCGGACTCATCTCACTGAGCATGATATAGACCAAGTAAATTATTCTTGAACTTGTGAGTTAAGAAATAGGTAATGAGCTGTAGCTAGTCTTGTGCAGTAGAATCATATATTGGTTTATGATGGACCAGAATTGTCTTTAAAGGGAGGGGGTTCTTCATTACAGACAGCTTGAGGAGCACTGACTTAGAAGGTGAAATGTCACAGGCATTGCTGCTAAGCTTCCTCCATCTTGCCACTGACCCCTCCCATGCCTGGAACTTATTATGAACATGAGACTCAAACTCAGGTGTAGAACGGCCTGGGGAGACCATTATACAGGACCCATAAACAGGCTGAGAACTGACTGGTTCAAGACTGGGGCAGAGTGGCTCCACTTCCTAGAACAGGGAGCACTGAAACACCTCTGTTCTAAAAGTCATTAGGTAGTCAAGTCAAATTCCCACCAATTCTGTAATTTGTCCCAATCGGGGAATAATGCAATGATGCTGGCAACAGCAAAAGCCCCATACCTAAGAGCTTAAGGGAATATCTTAGCAGCCCTACATTTTTAGAAAATGGTCTTCAACCACGTGACCTACTAGAGACATTTCCTCCTAGCTGTATAAAGGATTTAGTTTATTTTTAGAGCTTTTTTGAGAATATGAGTTGTCTAGTTGTGGGGTATTGGGTTGTCTCCTTTTTCTTCAAAAGCATGAACATGAATAGCATCTCTCTTTTTTTTTATAAACACTCACCACAGTTTCAGAAGTTATATCAAGCCTTATATTGATTAGAATTAAATTTTTAAAGACATTCCCAGCTTCAGACCTTAGCTTTCTTATCCTCAACGCCACATTCAATAAATGGCTCTTCATTTTCTGTGGCCCATGAGCGAGATGGTTCACAGGTGCACCTAAGAACACTCAACCACGTCTATGTGTCTGATAAATTCTAACCGGCACTCATTCAACATTTATCAAGCAATTATGTGTCAGGCACTGAGCAAAATGCTTAGCATAATAGGGGCTTGCTAGGTTGTTTTGTATCTTAATAATAGATGAGTATTATAATTCTCACTAAAAAAAAAATAAATAAATAAATAAAGGAAAAGCTGGGCAAACAAAAGATTACATTTCCTATTGTAAGAATACCAATTTTATAGTCATTATATCTGAGACAGTGGTAACAATAAAAAGACCAAATAGTTATCCTGGTAGGGTGCTCAGTGGTTAGAGCCTTTGCCCAAACACCAAAGGGACTTGGGTTCACTCCCTGGCCCCTCTCTGAGGCATGTGCAGGAAGCAACCGATTGATGTGTCTCTCTCACACCAATGTTTCTCTCTCTCTCCCTCCTCTCTCTCTCTAAAAAGCAATGGAAAAATAATAGCCTACGGTGAGGATTAACAAACAAGCACAGACCAAACAGTTAACTACATTGTGGGTGCAAGAATGACCCCAGAGTAAAGAATGACCTGATTGAAAAATATGTGGAGTAGAACCAAATTTTCTTCATTGCTAACACCCACCAGCACCACCTCTACAGCACTACACATCGAAGATACTCTTCCAGCTATTATTCCCGAAAAACGAATCACCCCAAAGTTAGTGGCATTAAAATAACAACAATTTGTTATGCTCACAGATTCTGTGGCTTCTGTGGGGTTAGCTTGTGTCTGCTCCACGACCTCTGGGGCCTCGGCTGGAAGAACTGAGGATGCCCCAAGGTGACTCAATGGTGGGGGCCTGGAGCTGCCTGAACCCTTGGTCACTCACACGGGAGGTGGTTGATGCCACTGTCAGCCAGGACCTCTGCTCGGGACCCACACATGGCCTCCATGGAGCTGCTTGGGCTTACTCTCAGCATGGCTGTTGGCTTTTTAAGAGTAAGTGTTCCAAAGAGAACTGGATGGAAGTTTCTAATGATCTATCCTCAGACATCACACAGTGCGACTTCTACTGTAGTCACGCACCTGCCGAGTTTCAGGGAAAGGGAACATAGATCTTCACCTCTCGGTGGAAGGTGTGGCAAAGTCACATTATAAGAACAGCATGTTGCACAGGACTTAATGTTGCAACTACTTTTGGGAAATAAACTCTGCCACAAATATCAAATAATCAATTGGTGACTAAAAATATCAGGGTTAAACATTGGTGCTTGCCTCAGTTCTTTGAGTTCTTTGAGAACACAGCGTGACCGTATTCCAACCCTTAAGGCCTTATGATTTGCTTTGGTCAATGAAACATGGATGGAAGTGACTTATGTAACTTATGGTAGGAAGCACTGACAGCCAATCCTCATCATCCATAGACTCTGTATTTGCAAACTCACCAACTTGCTAGTATGTGTTTATAACTCCAAAAGCAACCCTCACAGCACCCTCTCCATCGCTGGTAGACATGTGCCTGCGTAGAGCACTGAACAATGTGAGCCCCTGGGTGCACATGTTCCCAGCTGAGGTTAAACGAAGCGAAGCTCTGCCCTCTAGGTTCCGCTCTCATACAGTAAAAAAGGTGTCCTTTTTGAAATCTATGTAGTGCCATGTTTTCAGCATTTTTGTGCTTTCGGTGGGTGATTTCGCTCTTTAAAATGGCCTCAGGCACAGTGCCGAAGTGCTGTCGAGTGAGTTCAAGCACAGGAAGGCTGTGCTGTGTCTTTTGAAGAAGTTATGCTGGTTGTGAGTTCAGTGTTAAGGATTTAACGACGTATATTAAATTAGGTATCTTTGTACAACAACACACATAACACACCAGTAGATCAAAACGTTCAGGCTCACAGGAACCCTAACTCTGAGTTTCCTAGAAGCACGGGTTCAGTACTCATTTATTCAATGTTCGCAGTGACTGGACTGAGCATCAGCTGTGCCTACTGTTGCAGGCCTCCCCTGGGCCCTCCTCCACGCACCCCCCTCCCCCACTAGGCTGATGAGGAAGCACCTGGTTATAAAAGCACCACACACACCCCTGTGAACACTGATTAATTAGGAGCTAATAGAAATAACAATGTTACCATAATTAATCAACAAGAAAACTAGCTAGATTGTTTTGACATATGAGTATAAAACTTGAGCCTTCTGAATTTCATTCAATTTGTTCTAATGCAAATCCTATTATCTTGAAATAAATCCTTTGCTTTCCTTCCTTCTGTTCTTTTATATAACTAATTATCACCTTGTAAATCATAGATAATTCAGCTTAGTTACCTGCTGTTATCTTCATTAATTGCATATTCCACACCTTATAAAATAAGAGTCTCCAAATTTAGCCTCAGTTTTTCTATAAAAAGCCCCCCAAGAAGGCATTGGTAACTGTAAAAGGTACTCTGCAGATGAAAAGAAAAATAGATTTCTTAAACAAAAATGTAAATACTTCCTTTTCCCCTTAAAAACTCTCTGTAAAGTAAAATTATATTCTCAATTTTGCAGTCAACTAAGCAATGAGTCACAGCTGTTACTTAAGTTAAAATAAACAGGCAATTTATAAAAAATGTCAAAATTCATTATTTAGCCTTTACTAAATAATTCAAAGTTAGCTCTGTGTAATAGATTTGATATAAACACTAGGAAGCATCACGTGTCTGCATGCCACTCTACACACTCGCTTGGGCAGGGAAGGGTAAGGAAAAGAGAGGACATCAATTGCTTAAATAGTACTAGGACCATGGAATATTCTTCAGGAATAAAAAGGAATGAAATATGTACTGATACATGCTACAATGCTACATGATGACTCTTGAAAACATTACACTAAGTGAAAGAAGCCAGTCACAAAAGCTCACATATTATATGATCCCATTTACTTATAGGAAATGTCCAGAATAGACCAGCCTGCAGATAGAGGGCGGATTAGTTGCCTAGAGCTGGGGGATGGGAGTTGGGGAGTGATGGCTAAAGGGTATGGGGTTTCTTTGGAAAGGGGGTTGATGACAATGTTCTAAAATGGATTGTGGCGATTGTTGCACAATTGTGAATGTACTAACCACCATTAAATGGTGCACCTTAAATGGGTGAACTACATGATGTGTGAATTTATCTCTCAATAAATCTCTTAGAAAAAAATAAAGATAGCCAAGAAATTTAGAAAGCACTCGAGTCTAGCCCATGTCCCCACCCTTTTTCTTCCTCTCCTCAATCATCTTCCCTTCCTCTTCTACTCCCCTCGCGCCAGCCTGTTAGACTTGGTGGGGTGACTCAGAGGTTTGGGCGTCCCTGGAGAGGTGAGGCCAAGAAAGGAGGACAGCTCAAGGCTCCCTCCAAGCATGACTGTGGTCCATCTACTTCCTTCAGGGGCGGCACTAGGCCACCTTCTTGGTGTAAGGCACTACTAACCCCTGGCTGGGCACCGACCCAAACCTCGCTTGGAGCTCTCTGCCCACCGGAGTGCCAACAAGAACAGCCGAGTTCAGGGTCGCCAGTGCGTGCCCACCTCCCACCAGGAGAAGAGACTCCCTCCTGCCCTTCACTGGATGCACCCATGGGTGCAGGCTCTCGCTCACCCCCTCCCAGGATGAGAGCTGTCTGCAGAACCCGCTCCCAGCGCGGGTGGGGCTTGGGAGAGATTCCCGAACCGGTTCCACCAGAAACCGCGCCAGCCTGCTGCCCGGTCCTTCTCCCACCCCCAGCCCCTCTGGCTCCCACGGTGCACACCTCTGCCTGCCTGTGCACTGAAAACACGGGCGGAGGGCGGGACGGGCGCCAAAGAAAGCCGAACCCCAGCGGCCCCGCAGGCCAGCCGCCAGCCTCGCCCCTGCGGAAGGGACCGAGCAGGGGGGAGACCCCGGCGGCTGCTGCCAGGGCTGGGAATCGGGTCCCCGGAGGTCACAGGTCTCCTCCGGCCAGGCGCGGGCGGCGGCCGGCGGCCGGGTCTCCGCACGGCGCTGCGGGAGGCGGGGCGCGCGGCCGCGGGGCGGGGCTCGGGACCTCGGCGGCCAGCACCGCGCACACCAGGCTCCTGCCCGGACCCGCGCCGCCCATGGCCGAGGTGCTGGAGCCGGAGCCGGGGCCCGGGGCGGCCGAGGGCGCGGAGGCCCCGGCGGTGGAGACGCCGGGCTGGCAGGTCCCGGAGGACTCGGGCGCCCAGGTAGGAGCCTCCCGCGGCACGAAGGGTGCGGGCCGGGCCGGGTCGGGGGGCCTGGGAGGCCGTCTTCGAGCTGATTTGTGGTGAGGCCGGAGAGTCCCACATACTTAAGGGAAAAGTACTATTTTAAAATGGTCTGAGCCCCGAACAAACGGGAAGATCCTGTCGGTGAGCCCCAGCCCCAGGTACTGGCCACCTCTCAATTCCTTTGCTTTGCGGGCGGGGAAAAATGAATCAACCTTGTCCCACAGCCCGAGGTGGGGCCCTCCGGGCCGAGGGACCCTTATAGATGCTTGTTCTTAACTTGGGCTGACTTCCCACCCCCATCCCCCTCCCCTCGGCCCACCCCCGCAGCCCGGTGTTCGGGGCCTGGGCTGAAAAAGCGCAGAACCGCAGGATGGGAGCCGAGGGGGAGGGGCCCGGCCCGGTGGAGCCCGAACCTGCGGCCCAACCCAAGTGGGGCGCAGCCCCTAAACAGGACCCAAATCCAGGCCCCGGTACTGTTGCACCTCTCACCCTGCCTTTTTAGAATGGCTTCCTCCAGCTTTCTGTCCCATTTTAGCCTGAAAGTTACGAGATCCGACACTATGGACCAGCCAAGTGGGTCAGCACCTCCGTGGAGTCAAGGGACTGGGATTCTGCCGTCCAGACTGGCTTTACCAGGCTGACCAGCTATGTTCAAGGCAAAAACGAGAAAGGTGAAGGCAGTTTTCCTTGTAATTGTATTTGGTGGTCGAGTCCCCCGGCTTATTCTCGAGTTTTAGCTTATGAAAGCAATACAACTTAGAACAGAAAAATAACCAGGTCAACAAAGACTTACTGTTTTTTTCAGCCCCTCATCCTTGACTGTGTTCCTCTGGATGAGCTGGGCCTCTGTCACTAGTGCTAAGGCCCTTTTATGGCTGATGCTGGACTGGTGGGGTGAGAGACACCAGGAAGCAGGTCAGCAGGAGGAACACAAGATCCAGAGTCTCCAGACTGAGCCCCAGGTTCTGGCTCTGAGGTTATTTATATTCCAGCAGGTCACTTGGCCAATGGGGCTTCAGCTTCTGAATTGTAAAAATAATGACTGGACGATGTGATCTCTGATCTTCCCTGCTGTCCCTAAACCTTTAGAATTTAGTAACCAAAAATATTAATAGTACAGAAAGCGCTTACTGTGGGCAGTGGATAATTGAGTCATTTTGGTCTTACTTTTTAATGATGGAAATTATCTTAAAGGTAAATACAGGGTGGGGCAAAAGTAAGATTACAGTTTGCTCGGAAAATAATACAATAGTCAATAATACAAGAATAAACTCTGTTTTGCATACTCACAACTGTAACACTACTTCTGCCTCCCCTTGTATTTATGCCAGTAGCATAAAGTAAATCGAGACACTCAGATCACATAATAGTAGGTGAAGTTTAAAAAGTGGTGCTAAATTCCCTCCCTACCTTTGCTTTCACGGCCTCCTTTGTGTTTAAATATGTATATTTTTATGGCACAGAGATGAAAATAAAGATGACAGCTCCAGTGATGAGCTACGTGGAGCCGGGTTCGGGTCCTTTTAGCGAGTCTACCATTACCATCTCCCTGTATATCCCCTCCGAGCAGCAATCTGATCCGCCGAGGCCTTCAGAGTCAGATGTCTTCATTGAAGACAGAGCGGCAATGACTGTGTTTGTGCGGTAAGTGGTAGGTAATTTATAGCCCTGCTGACTGCTAGTTTCACTGTCCTGCACTCTGTTTAGCGCTGATGCAATTTCAGTAGGCTTTTCACCCTTCCACAGAAACAGGCCTAATGCACTTTTGTGGCGTTTTCCCACTGGCTTATTTCATCTAGGTTACCAAGGGTCTGTTGCAAAATCTAATCAGTTCAGTTAATGCAGAGTCTGTTGCATACCTTCCACAAAGCAGACGCAATGCAAATTATTTCCCCTTCCCCCCAAAAGCATACGCTTACCTGCCATCTAGTTAAGCCCGAACAAAATACCTTAACTCCCAACTTCTAGGTCCTGATAACCCCAAGCTCTTTCCTTCTGTTCCCCAGCACAAGGGATGGCTGCTGCCTCCTGCGGTTATTCCCTCTGCTAGTTTACGGGTGCGTTTTTACTTTTTCAGAATTCTAATACCTGTTGCACTCATTTCTTGTATTAAATTCTCCGTTGAAATTTTATCACAGTACATGATAATAGTCTCATGTTGGAATCCCTTTATTAGTCCCTTTCTCTCCCTCCTTTCACCACCAACTGTTACAGGAATCGGTGTATCTGCTTGCTTACCTCCCACGTACACCTCAAATCACCACCGTCTGCTACAGCCCACACCATCTCCATGGAACTGCTCTTGCCACCTTCCACAGTGCACCTCCATTTGTTACATAACAGTCCATTCCCCGGGTCCCCTGCAGCCTTCGCGTGCTGACCAGTCTGTTCCCTCATACTTGTCCATCCTATAACTCAGAGTGTTGCTGTATTGTCATTCCTCTCCTCCTCGTCCACTCCTCACCCCCAGAATCACTGTTGATGCCTGTTATTGATGCTCATGTCATAGCAGGCTTGCTCTGGGTGATCTGTTCACAATGCCTCAAATATCTGTGTCTAATGACTCTCAAGTTTAATGTCTCCAGCCCGAGTTCCCTACTTGTTGGACATTTCCATGTGGGGTAGGGGTGGGGCTCAAACTGAACAGCTCTAAAAACAAGCCTTTCCCCGATTCCCAGCCTGCGTGGGCAGTGACCTTACAGTGCCTGTGTCAGTAAAGGGCCGCCGCATCCTGACAGCCTCCCGAGCAAGGACCTCCATGGCCATCACCCGCACGCTCTTCCCTGACAGCTGGTCTCCAGATGTGGCCCCTTCCCCTCAGAAAGGGTCGTGATTCTGCTCCCATCTCTCCATCCTCATGGTTACTTCCTCATGGTTATGGGGACCACACCTAAGCCATACTTTGCTGAACACAGTGCCTGACAAGGTAGAGACTCCCATGTCTACTGATCTCAGATCTTGACTGTTCCACTTCAGTAGCCTCCCAGCTCCTCTCTGTGCCCACCGGTCTCTTCCTCTCTTGCCCCCCACTGGAACTCATGCTTTTCTTATGGCGACGGCAACAAAAGCCCCAACCTGTTACTCCATTCAAAAGACTTTGTTGGTTTCTTCTTGCTTTAGGGCAGTGGTTCTCAACCTTCTGGCCCTTTAAATACAGTTCCTCATGTTGTGGTGACCCCCAACCATAAAATTATTTTCCTTGCTACTTCATAACTGTAATTTTGCTACTGTTATGAATCATAATGTAAATATCTGATATGCAGGATGTATTTTCATTGTTACAAATTGAACATAATTAAAGCATAGTGATTAATCACAAAAGCAATACGTAATTATATATGTGTTTTCCGGTGGTCTTAGGCGACTCCTGTGAAAGGGTCGTTCGACCCCCAAAGGGGTCACGACCCACAGGTTGAGAACCGCTGCTCTAGGACTTAGAATGGCACCTAGGCTGTGATAACTTTCTCTGTCCATATCCTTCAGCTCCAAGTAAGGCAGGTGTATGGGGGGAGGCTTGGTCTGTTTGTGTACGGAATAGAGCATGGATAGATCATTGCAGAACAATATATATTCAGAGAGCAGAAGGTGACTTCTAATTAGGGGCTTCAAGATTTGATTTCACCGAAGAAGTAGGACCTGAAAACAAATTTCCTGTAGGCAGAACATACCAAGAGTTGGCTATTATTAAAGAAAATAACAATTTAAAAGACAAAATATTTCTTAACACGTGATTCAGAATTATCAGTCAACATGCTGAAAATTATAGAACAGTTTTATCAATTTATCTTCAATGTTTTATGTACAGGTGTGCTCATAGATTCCTACACTTATTCAACAGGGATTGAAACGAGACTGCATGCCAGGAATGATTCTAGGTGCCTGACATTGTTGAGTAAAATAGACATGTTTGGTTTGTGCCCTTGAGAGCTTACATCTTATCTGAAGAAGGGTAGGACTGATCCTTTCCATTGGCACACTGATAATAAAACTTATGCTAAAGAAGGCGTATTAGGAACATATTTGGTTCCCTGTGTTTCCTATTCTTAACCTTCAAAATCAAATTCATCATGTTTACATGTCAGCAACTCAGCTAAGTGTGTGTCCTGTCAGGATTTAATCTCAGGATATTTTTGCTTCTTTACTTTAAAATCTATGCTTTAAATTTGATTCTTTTTCCCCACTTAAAAAAATCTTTTAAAAAAATATGTTTTTATTGATTTTAGAGAAAGAGAAAGTAAGTGAGAGGGAGAGAGAGAAACAGTTGGTTGGCTGCCTCCTGCACCCCCCACCCATCCCCTTACTGGGGATTGAGTCCAAAACCCACGTATGTGCCCTGACCCGGAATTGAACAGGCCACCTCTCAGTGCACAGGATGACGCCCGACCAACTGAGCCACACTGGCCAGAGCTTTTTCCTCACTTTCCCAGCTCCTGCTTTTCTTTTTCATTTAAATATTTTGGCTGGCTGTTCTTTCCCATCCCCAAACCTCCCATGTATCTCACTCAGACCTGACAAAGTTACTTTTCTGCTCAAACATCCTTTTAAGAATAATCTCCAAAGGTCTTAGGATGATGATATACAAGGTTCTTCCTTCCGGCTGAGCCGCACCTTCCTGAGCCCACACTGTGCCTCACTGTGCAAACACTTTGCAGTTTGCAACTTCTGTTCTTTTTCGTATCCCTCCCCTTTCCCTGCCCAGCAAAACACTCTACATTCCAGACCCAACTCAGTTCACAGCCCTGATCTTGATTTAATCATGTACTCAGTGTCCCTACGCACTTTGGTCCTGTCTCTGTTAAATCTCTTCCCAAGCTATAGAGAGGGAGCTACCAAAATGTTTGTCTCTTGCTTCAGACTGTAAGTCAATAGGGTCAAAACTACATTCATCCATCAATTAGTGCCTGTCCTTTGCCCAAGGAGAGGAAGAAAGGCAAAATGTTCTAGAGAAAATTGCAAGTCTGGAAGGGAGGCTTCTAAGTGGCTTTCAGTGTGGTTCTCGGGCCAGCAGCAGCAGCAGCAGCATTGGGACCTAGTTAGAAACCATAGACTCTCAGACCCCCTCCCAGACCTCCTGAATCTGCATGTTAGCAAGGTTCGTGTGCACATTGAAGTTTGAGAAGCAGAGTTGGAGGACGGGAAGTGTGAATTCTGTATCTACCTGCCAGCAGATGGGCCGGATCCCCCTCCCGGTTCTCCCTCCTCAGTATGCGGAGGTGACACTGAGACCGGGAACTAGAGGAAGGGAATGCTGGGTTCAGGGGCTGAGCAGGTGGAGCTTTGAAACTCGGCTTTATCCAACTTCATTGTATCAGCTCTTGCTTTTCTTTTCAGACTGACTGCGCCGGTACTAAAACCATTCATGGTTATCTACGTTCTCCTTTGTAGGTCTTTCGATGGATTCTCTAGCGCCCAAAAGAATCAAGAACAACTTTTGACATTAGCAAGCGTTTTGAGGGAAGAAGGAAAAGTTTTCGATGAAAAGGTTTACTACACTGCAGGCTACAACAGTCCTTTCAATTTGCTTAATAGAAATAATGAAGTGTGGTTGATTCAGAAAAATGAACCCTCCAAAGAAAATGAATGAGAAAATGAAAAGAAATAGCATCGCCAGGGGCTGAGCTTTAATATAGACATCAACACACCCAGAAGTAAAATGTGTGTCTAGTATCTTCTCCTTGAGAATACACATATGACTTGAGCCTATTTCCAATGTGCCTTTTTAATGCTTGAAGGTTTATCAAGATACACAGATAATAGGGGACAACATTCTATGAACATGGAAATGGTCATCGTCCTGGTGGTCTTTAGTTCTATGAGGCTCCAGAGAAATACCATGTTACTTCCCCTTCTCTGTATCATAACCATGTTGCTTTTTTTCTACTGGATCCGTGTCAATTGGATGTTATCTCCTCCAGACAGTAGCAATAAAAATGTTAAAGATTTACCTTGTGTGGCACTACTGGACTGTCCAGCTTAGAGAGGTGAAGTTAGGGTTGGCACAAAGAATTGAACTGTCTTTTGCAGCCGCTGTTACATTCTGTTGAGTCCTCCTCCCCATCTGCCCAAATCACAGAGTACCCAAAAGTTTTGATAATATTTTGTGGCAAAGATTAAACTTATAAGATTAGGGACTTCCTATCCAATTTTGATATTCAGTAAAGGTATGTTTTTCCTGAACAAATGTATACAAACATATAATTTTAAAATTCACTTGAATTTTTAAATGATTTCATGTAGTCTTTCTGGAGGTCATGTAAAAATGACTAATAAAAGACTGGGATGTCCCAAAATCAAGGAGGTTGACATTATCACCTGTGTTGGAAACTGCTTGTCCTGGGAAGATGTCACATTCAGGTGCCTAGAAGCCTGTTGGGGGGAGGGCATTATCTTTGCTGTGGGATCCTGGGGGATGACGGTTGCAAGTTGGACCTCAGTAACTTCCAATAATTAGAGCTGCCCATGAATGACACTTGTTCCATTTCCCAGCACTGGGTGGTTTAAGTGGGGACCACATGATCATTTACATAGGAGATCTGAGTATCCAATGGTTGGGAGGGTGGGGCCAGAGGTTGCTTAAGGTCCCTTCAACACCATCATCATATACTATCCCTTAAAATTGATCTCCCTAATCTGGATACAATTGACTAACATACCTACAGTTAGCTACAGATTGTCTTCTAGGTGTATCATCCCAAGTGCTTTACCTGAATTACCAAATTCAATGATGATGATTGTCTTCTAGGTGTATCATCCCAAGTGCTTTACCTGAATTACCAAATTCAATGCTGTGTGCCACGTGGCATCATGTGTTTTACAGACGAGGACACTGAGGCACAGATGTTAGGTCACATGCCTCAGATGAAACTAAGGACAGAGGCTGATTGGAGCCCAGGCAGCCGACTCCTCGGTCCATGCTGTTAAACCGCTATGCCCCACTGGCAGGTAGCGGTCAAGAGCAGGCTAGGACCGTCTGGAGGTGTTCTTGCATATTACATGCATAATCATTATGATGATAACTTCAGACATACCTTTTAGACTGTAATTTTTGATAGAAAACAAGCTAGATTTCTGTTTCTGGAATTATTATGGGTATAAATTTTAAAATCCCAGGCAATTATTTTCCAAAGGTATCTGTTTACATTGACTGTTGATTCTTAGCATGTTTATGCTTGCCAAAAAGACACAAAAATTCTTTTTTAACTCATTTGCCATCCCCAACTAGAGGCTACCTTCTAGCCCTCCTGATGAATGTCCACAATACCAGCCTCTATTGGTAAGAGGTAACTATTTCTAACACTTCCCCTACAGTCCTATATAAAATAGGCATCTCTTATGCAATAAATCCCACTTTACATAAGCACATTCCTGGTCACTCAGATATTGTTGGAATCTGAAACACGTTCAATAAAAAATCAATTTCATACTGAAGTCCAGGTATCCCATTTTCACTTCCTCTCCCCTAATGCATAAACCAAAACATTTTCCAGCACTGATCAATCCGAGAGTAATTTTCATGGCAGTGAGTCAGTTGTTGTAATGATGTAGGTGGCATGATTACAAGGTAACCCTTATGCCAACTTTTCTTTTGAGATTTTTATTCTCGTATCTGTAGGAAATTCATGTCTAGACTTTTACTTAAGCTAAACCGTCTACCTTTGCTGTTGGGCTAATTCGTGCTCCACGGATTAGCCCCTTTCCTTTCCTCGTCAGGCTCTCCCTCTCCACACACTCTAATCACTCTGACCGCAACCCACCAGTGGAATGTATAGCTTGTAAACAAGGCTAAGAACCAAGCCAAGTTACATCATTCCTCTTCTTAAAAACCTTTGTTATTCCCCAGCACTACAAAACAAATCCTAATTTTTTAAAATGACATCCCAGGCCCTCTACATTCTTACTGCAGGTGACCATTCTAGTATCATGTCCCCCTCTGTTTTACTAGAGACTTCTTTTAGCTACACGGCTTCCTCTAAACACTTTGCTCTGTGTCCTTGCTCAGGCTGTTTCTTCAGTCTGGAATGACTTTCTTCTGCCAACTCCCTATGCTTGGTGAGAGCCTCCTCATCTGTGAAGTCTTAGCTCAGGTTCACCACAGCCAATGCCTTCCCCATCCTCTTAGGCAGGAGCCATGACATCTTCCTCTGAGAACCATCTCTCTCACCTGCAAAGTCAGTGAAAAATACTTACCCAGTGAGCCTGGAGGTGGACAGCCCAAGGTGTTCTCACTGGACCAGGCTCCTCTGCCTTCCACACCCTGTGGCTTCCATCCTTATTGGTGCTTCAGTTTGCAAGAGCACTGTTCTTCCTCCAGCTTCCCATCCTCTCTAGGGAGAAGAGGGGGAAGGAAGCCACAAGAGGGATGGCACCTGCATGAGGAAAGCAACTTCCCAGACAACAGTGGGGCAAGGGGTCTGGTATGCCAGCCGGGTGCATCGCCAGCCTGAACCAATTCCAGGTGTTCTGTTCGTAAAGAGAACACATGCCGGCTGGGGTCCCGGCAGGATTTGCCCTGAACGTTCTTCCCTTTCCTCTGCTCCCACACTGATCTGTTTTACAGGATAGTCCATTGTTGATGCCTCTCTTCACTAGGTTTGAAGTTCCTTAATGATATCTCATCCACATTTTTCTATCTTAGAACTTCCTCATCCTCATCTAGGACATGAGATGTATTTACTAAAGGGTTTTTTTTTTCTTTTTCATTGCTGAACACACACTACAGATGTGCTCTAGTCTTTGTTCTGTAACTAAATTGGGCCTGTGTGGAAGGTAGTTTAAAGCAACTCACTGAAAGAAACTAGATTATAGTAACTGAATAGCTTATTACAGAAAAAAGAGACCTCAAAAATCAGGTCCATGCTTTATCCAAAACTACACCCCCCCCCCCCCAACAATATCCTAATAGCTGCCAAAGTAAAGTATCCTACCTTGTTCATCTCATGACAGAATCTCAGCAATACACATAATTATTCATATTCACCTAATGGACAGAAAACACATTAAGACAGACCCTATAAAGCCAATCTCCAGCTTCACCTGTCCTCCCAGGAGGCCACCAGAGCTGGGTGTGGTGGTGGGTGGGGAGTAAGATAGAGATACAGAAACACCACCTTTCTTTCTTATCATTGTGATTCTCCGCAAACACATAGACTCATCCACACACGAGAAGCAATGGTTTCAATCAGTATTCAGAAACAGGAGGGCAGAAATCAGACCAAAGTTGAGGCTGCTTCCAACGGACAATCCAAGTAGGTATTTCTTTCTCTCCCAACTTTTAGAAAAACTACAGTGGAAATCATTTAGGCCTGGAGCTTCCATCTATGACGATCTGGCACTTAAGGTCTCATGGTAGAAGGAAGGGTCAAGTCTACCCTCACTGAGTTTTTAGTATGATCTGATCTGTTAACTGTAGCTGGCCCTGGGGAATATAGCAGTAAAACTAAAGATGCCCTATGGTTCAGGAAGGAATCTAGATTCTTGTTTCCCTGTATGTCATCCATGCCTGGACGCCATTCTTGCATCTCTCCACATCACATCATCTGTACTATTAGTCAATACATTATTCGTATTTTATTCAAAAGTCCCTGGGACATCGTTTAGAGTTGTTTTTTTCCAGATGTCCTTTGAGATGGCACAATCCAGAGTCTGGGATGTTCTAACTCCTCTCTGTTGGGTCCCACCTCCCACGGGCACCGTCTGGTTTTCACTGCTCTTCTGTTTGCATCCAGCAAAGCACTCAGCAGCTCTGCACATTACTCAAAAACCCATGTACTCACAAAAAGAAATAATGTTCAAATATTTCCTTTTCAATTGTTTTATTCAAAGCAAATTAAAAACCTAATATATTTTCCTTTAAAAAAGGTGTTTTAAAAAAATATATTTTATTGATTTTTTTACAGAGAGGAAGGGAAAGGGATAGAGAGTTAGAAACATTGATCAGCTGCCTCCTGCACACCTCCCACTGGGGATGTGCCAGCAACCAAGGTACATGCCCTTGACCGGAATCGAACCTGGGACCTTTCAGTCCACAGGCCGACGCTCTATCCACCGAGCCAAACCGGTTAGGGCTAAAAATGGGGTTTTTAAAAAATAGTTTTATAATTAGTGTTGACATTGCTTATCTTATCCTCAACATATTTGATTTGTATATTAAGTTAAAGTTCTCTGATAGCCATGTACATTCTAATCTTTTCTAGGTATCTATGAGATTTCATATCCAAAAGCCAACACTACTTTTCTAAAATTAAGAAGAAAAAAAGTCCTTGTTCCCAATGTAGTAGACAATTGCTCCAACAGGTAAAAAATTCCTTTGCTTTTGGCCAAATGTCGGGTCTTGATTTCTGTTGTGTGAAACAAAGTGTTTTTTGTTTTTTTCAGAGAATGGAAGGAGCCTTAATTCTTTAGGGTTGGTTTTCTTGTGTGTGTGTTTTTTTTTTGTCTCAAAGATGTGTCTAAAGTGGGTATCTGAACATTATGATGATTTGGCCTGTGCGGTCCAACTCTGAGATGATATTTTCACATCAGGGAAGATGACATTAGGCAGCTGTCTTATATGTAATCCAAGCATCTCAGCGTTGCCACCTTAGGTCCCTCCAATGAAGAAGACAAGACTCCGATTTTATTTCACCAACAAATAAAGTACATGGCAGTCAGGAGGGCGTGGGGAGGGAGGGGTCACAAGAACATGACATAAAAATAAATACTTTACACACGTTTTCCCATGTCCAAAAGTGTTAACATTCTAACTGAAGAAGCTTGGAAGGTAATTACCTAACTCAATTATTTATAAAAAATATAAAAACACACAAACCACGTGATGCAAAAAAAAATCTTTTTAATCTAAAAACTCATTTCCCAGGGCTAATTCATTGCCAAGCCCTACCAATTTTTATCAGTTTATTAGACTAACAAGAGCTATTCAGCATTTTCGTCAAAGTAAGATAATATATAATAGATTTCGATAAACCTTTCTCAGTGAGGATATGATACTGCAGGCAGTTCAAGGAAAAATAGCCATAACTTTTTCTTTGGTGTAACCAAAAGGATATCCAAAAGTTAGCAAATGTTGACGTTTCAAGTGATAAGAAATTGCCAAATGGAGGTTTAAACTCTGGTAAAAACAGTTGTACAAGGAAAAGCTCCACCCACAGTTCTGTAGTGCAAGTTTTCAAATTTCATTCTGAAAAATAAGTTTATTTTATAAGCAGGAAACAAATTGCAGCAGTGTATCACTCGCTCCTCTGCCTTCTCTCACCCTCTCTGCATGTGCACACCCTCATTTCAGTTCTCGAAGGTCCCCGCTATAAAGGAGGAAATTCATTAAAAAATTACCCACGTTTCTAACAATCGGGCTGAGAGTTGTGTCTGTGGCTGCACGGCAGCAGGCTCCGACTACAGCGTTGTCCCTTCCACATGTTTGTCATTTTTACAAAAAAGAAACAAAGCCTTTTTTCCCCCAGAAAAAAGTACCTGAACCCATTAGTCACTTAGCCCTTTCCCCACCTTTCGGGTTAGCCATGAAAGCACACCTGTGCATATACCCATGCGTTCTGTGCACTCAGAACCAGCAAATCTACCACCTCGTTCTTAAAGTCATGGTCCTCTCCCTTCTGGAACGCACTCATTTCCACACATACTTTCAAAGCATTGCCACCTAGTCCAGAAGCTTCCATTACTCTACCTGTGTCTTTTTCTCCTCATATAACTGCACATGTTGTGTGTCTGTGTATTTTTCTTAAACATAAAAAGTGTTCAAAATGCACACATACACACCTATTCACACACACCCAACATTTAACAACAAAAAAAAAAAGAAAAATCTTCCCCAGGAAGCACTTTCAGAAGTTAAGCTTCTACTTGCTTTTAAGCCACAGGGCGAGTGCCAAGTGAGTCCTAAGTGACCCGCATCCACTGCAGGCATGGCAGTGCCCGGGTCCACAGCACACACACGGGTGGGATCCCTGGGCAGACAGGGAAGGGTTCCTCGGGCTCCCTAGAGCGATGGGTTGTGCATCTCCCCCACGTCACCTGGGAGATCCATCCTTGCCCCTAACTTGCTTCCCTCAGAGGACCCCCGCACTCTTCCGATGGGCCCCTGCCCTGGGCACTGGTTGTCCCATCTGCGGGGCCACATGGCAGGCCGCCCCCATCCATGTCATCCCCCACCAGTCCGTCCAGGGAACAGCCCCTTGCAGCGCCCAGGACACGGCGAGCCCTGGTGTCCACAGGCTCCGTGGCCTCCCCTTCGCCTTCCGAGATGACGGTCATGGGGCTGCTCTGGATCCGGTTCCGCAGGCTGTACCTGCTGCTGGCTGCGGAAGGTGGGGTTCGACTGCGGCCGTACCTGGGGCCGGAAAAGGACAGACTCCGAGGCATCAAGCCTTCGTTCCTGGCCCACTCCTCCTGGGCCCTTCTGTTCTTGCTTGGGGAACAGCTGGACGGGCTGTCGGGAGCGTCTGGCGCGGGCTCCGACCTTGACCTCTGGAACCTAGGGTCTGTGTTCTTGAGCATCTCGGCTGCGGACATGCGGGCACTGGTGTCTGACCGACTCCCCTTTTTCAGCAGCAGAGCTTTGAAGTTGTCACTGCTGGTGCTGCTCTTGCGGACACTTCTCTGAATCGATCCCACCTGCTTTGGGGAGGCCAGGCTGGGGGCAGCACCGGTGGGTGTCACTGGCGGGGAGGGAGAATGGTTTCTAGTGTGATCGTCCTCTGAATCTTTACGGCCAAGGACTTTCCTCTTGGATCTGAGATTTAATAACATTAAGATAAAGGTTAATTCCAAATGGGCCACTGGATGTCAGCCACAACCACCATGCTTATCTTACTGCACATTCAGGTCACCATCTATGGAAACCTCCACACACCCATGCACAAGAATAGTTCATTGTATTTACCATGTGTGCCCATGACCCCGCTATCATTATTAACTGATGCCTCTCTTCTTTAAACTCCACCCTCACTGGATTATTTTGAAACAAATCTCAGACATAATAACTGGATAGGACCATTACTAAAGTTCTTAATAACTGTTATTTCTAATTTAATTCTCCTACATTGGACTGATCCTGACTGGATTTCATGGTGCTGGCAATGAAAAGGCCTAACAGCTAATTTCCAGAATACCCTACCCCCTCTACCGAGAAGAGCCCCCATCCAGCGTTGTCCCTTCCACATGTTTACAAAAAAGAAACAATTCTACAAGAGTTTGACATAAAACCAGTCAATTCTACAAGAGTTTGACATAAAACCAGTCAATTCTACAAGAGTTTGACATAAAACCAGTCAATTCTACAAGAGTTTGACATAAAACCAGTCTTCCTTGGCTCTTACTGGACCATGCGTCAACTCCTAGAAGGCCAATGGCCCAGAAAACAAAAGCGAACCTCCCCGCCATGTCCTGTTTCGTGACTCATGTCAGAGGACTTCTAGCTGATCAGGAAAATGTGGGGCTGTGGGGAGACTATGAGAGACGAGGGGCCTTCAGGGAGAGTGAAATGTTTCCTGCAGGTATTTCTTGTCCTCAGTCGCTAAGAACCTCCCTGTTCCATGTGTTTTCTGCTGAGAGTGAGTCAGAGATAATAAAGCAGATGAGCCAAGTGGCCCCTTGCTGGTCTTTTCATAACAACAACTCAGTGTGCCAGGAATCCGTTAGCCAAGTACAGGTGGACTTGCTTTAAGGAAACGTGGCACATCTAATGAATAAAGATGCAGGAATATTTATTTTTCTGCTATAAAATTCTAGAATATGCAGCAGGGAAAGATTGAGAGGATGCTATCTGTACACTCAGATCAAGGGTAGAACCTGAGCACTACCAACTTCTAGCTGTGTGACCTTGGGCCATTACTCATCTATACCGCACCTTGGTGTTCATACTTGTAAAATGGGGATGATGGTATCAGCCTCACAGGTTTGTGAGGATTCCACGAGATAAAGAATCTGTGGAGTCACATGGACCTGGGTGCACTCCCAGTGCTTAAAGCGACCTTGTTCAGTTACCTTGGGCAACTTAAAATTTCTGATCTGTTTCCTATATGGAAAAGGGGAATAACAGCAGATAGCACATAATTTAGCAATCAAGATGGATGCAATATCAGCCATAAAATGTCAGGCACAGAGAAGGTGCTTAATAAACCTTTGAGTGTCACTTAGGAAAATATAATTTCCCTTCCTGCCTCTAGGTCAGGCTTCAGTGCTGTTTTCATGTGACCTGCACAGCAAGGCATGGGGGAGGGTGGGCCATGATGGCTGTCCTGGGTTTGATGCTCCCAGGGTCCTCTCCCTGCTTCTGACCAAAGTGGAAAACAGGAAGTAGTAAGGACACAATTCAGAGGCTGAAAGGTGGCCAGACCTGATGTGGCACCAGCCCCTTTGGGAATGCAGAGACTGCATGTGATATCTAGGTTCAATGGTTCTGCTCAGCTGTCAATAAAAGCAATGTTCTAGAGCAGTGGTTCTCAACCTTCCTAATGCCGCGACCCTTTCATACAGTTCCTCATGTTGTGGTGACCCCCAATTTCATTGTTACAAATTGAACATAATTAAAGCACAGTGATTCATCACAAAAACAGTATGTAATTATATATGTGTTTTCCGATGGTCTGGCGACCCCTGTGAAAGGGTCATTGGACCCCCAAATGGGTCGCGACCCACAGGTTGAGAACCGCTGTTCTAGAGTAAGTTAATGAACGATGGACAGAAACCGTAGAAATACTAACATCTCCGAATTGTAGAGCTGGAAAAGACTTCAGACGGTTTGGTCTGACCAAAGAAGGTGCCTGAGGTCTAAAGAGTGAAGTCACACGGCTGAATACAAGAACTGGGACCTGATGGAGTATTTTTCCATTTATAGCACATGGCTCCACCATTTCTACAGGTTGCCCCTCCAAAAGCAGCTTTGCCCATCCCATTTGTGCAGGTACTGGTTTGTGATGTCATTTTTTTGTTTGGTTTTTCAACAAAGAGGACGTGCCGAGTGCCACACAACAACCCACAGCTATCCTTGATTAAAGCTATGGCCTTTCATTGCAGATTCAGAATTAAGAGAAGGGATGGAAATTTATAAAAAGTAGTGTTGTTTTTCAAGAACAGCTGTCCTCTAAAATGAGAATTAAGTCTAAACATTTGAATTCTCTGCTTTTATATTGTGTGTGTATTCTTAAAGAAGATGGCTGTAAAAGGTGCTTAAACAGTTAACTCTGGTTTGAAAACTAATTACTTCAATGAATATAAAAATTTCACACCTCAACTGGTGTGCTACATGTTCCATCTGGCTTCCAATCTGAAGGGAATTGATTTGCATTCTAAAACTTGAAAGCTGTGTTTCAATTTAGATATTCTTTACTTTGAACTATTAGCTTAGGTACTGAAGGGGATATAAAATAAAGCCCTAAAAATCACAAACTTTAGGTGGATTTGGATTATGTCTGCTAATATACTGTCTGTGTTAAAATAAAAACCAGCACATGTCCTTGGCTTTCTCTTTACAATCCTATCCTACGTGGCCTTTACGGCTACCATGCACACACAGGATAATTCAGACAGGCCAATTCCTACATCTGCTGTAGACATAATTATAATTACGCTCTAGATATAATTCTCTAGTAGGAGAAACCTCAAATTTTTCAGGGCCTCAAGAAGGTTGCTAAAATAAAATATAGAGAAGATCTTTGGCATATTTTTAGGAAAAGCATGTTGTAATTTGGGCCCACAACAGTTGGGTTCTCACTGAGACCAAGTATTTAGTACACAGAGTGGCCAAGCAACACATCTCCTTGCGGACTGCTGTTATAAATACATACGCCTGCAGTTAGCAACCCAGTGCATTCCATACTAAATGAAAGCCATCGAGTCTTGGAACAACTTCCAAACAGTTAAATACCAATTGGTTTCATTTAATTCAGAAAATATTTATTGAGTGCTTATTATGTATCTAGCATGGTTAGTATTAGAAACAGCTGTGTAAGCCTCTAGACGTGCCATTAAAGTTGATTTCAAAGATTGCATCATTGTTCGTTTCGCTGTTTCGAGAAATAATTTGGTAACTAGCTACCTTTTTATTCCTAATGATATCAAAGAGAACAGTCAGACAAGGAGCAGTCTGTGGAACAGAATGTTAAAGGAACAGTCTGTGGGGTCTTTTGGGATATTTACTAATACTAGAGCCAAGAGGTAAAAAATATAATTCTTCACAAACACCTTAATTTGCCAGCTTTGTTTTTTTTCTCTCCCAAATTATGTGTTTATGTATTGCATGAGGAATTTCAGGTAGGGACAACCCTATGCTTTTCATCGCATGCAATAGTTTTTGTTATATTCCAAGAATCGGGAAAATGGTCATACACAAGGTTAGTCCCACAACCAGGATTTTTTGTTTCCAGAGGGAAAAAAGGAACCTTGATTCAGGGCAATACAAGATTTTGGAAGGATAAGGGCATGTGTAAGAGTGATCTGAAAATACTGCGGTGAAGAAGTCTAGGAAGAAGCAAAGGTTTTATATAGAAAGTACTTGCACATATACAATCTTAATAGTTTTTACAATGTCACTGTTGTGAGAGTACTTGCCTGTTTACAACCAGAAAAATGAGGCAATAAGTAAAACTTTAGTGTTAGGTCCTATTCACTCAAGGTGACCACATCTGAAAAGTACAGGCAGTTCTTTTAAAAATATTTATTCTTTATTTTTTCAAACCCAGTAATCTCTGATGCCAGTAGGTGGCACTAGCAGCATACAGTAAAGCAAGTAGATTTAATTCCTTTTGCTCCTGCTTAAAAAAGATGTACTCTCTTATTGAAACATGTATGCAGCCGAAGAAATTGCACTATAGATTCCTGGTTTTTCTGTAAAATAAACAACAACAATGCTGTGCCATTAGGAAGTTCCTGTCCTGTAGCGCTAGTCTGTGCATCTCCCGTCCACAGAACACAGCCTTCCTCCCCTGGACTGGACCAGGGCTGCGCTAATCCAACTCCTAAATACCCTGTCATATGACTGACACATTGCGTTCCTGGCCAGCAAGAGCAGTGCTGACCAGAGGCATCACACAGAGCCTCTGATCCCCATGTCATCATAAAAATTAGTGGAACACAGTAAAACAGAAACTGGAGTCCAAGGAAATAAAAATATAGAAACACATGAAAATAAATCAAGTTAATGAAAATAATCCAGTTAATGAAACCTAATTGGATGATAGAAGAAACCTCAAGGAAGGAATATAAATTGAGGAACCATTTGGAAGAGGGGGACTCAAAAAGGAGAAGGAAATATGAGTTTTGGGTACCTGTGAATAGCTGCGAAGAGGTCTTCTGTGGTCCGGGGTCTACTGGGGGTCATCACCTCATCACTCCCTTCTTCCTTAAGGAAGTCAAAGACCTCTGGGGAAGAGCCAGCCACGTCGGACTCCGGCACCCGGGCTATGGAGAAGCAAGCAGCAAACACAAGATTCACAAGTGACTTGAATTTCAGTCTTTCGCCAAGCTCCCAGTACGCTTCCCTGTCATTCCTGACAACGTGAGAACCACAGGGACGGGCAATGGGGTTTGATATTTTATAAATACGGGGAGCATGCTAGCCAAAGCTCTTTCTTTTGTGTTCAAGTCTAGATCTCCCAATGAAGCTCTTAAATCGTGTTGTAACATTACTTTGTGGCTCTCCGGAAGGGAGAGTACTCAGTGCTATTTAATACCCAGCTTGCTGCAGACCACCACCCCCTCCACCCCTCTATTCTCTGTCCTTCTGTAAGCTCTACCCTTAGATCTAGATTTTTTTTTAACATTTCACACAATGCCAAGCTAGTAACCTAAGTGTGAGGCAGCGTAGGAAACCCACTGCGGGCTCTAACGTGCACACGCACCAGCCCTGTCTGCCTCGGCTGCACATGGTCGGAGAGGAATAAGAGAGAAAACCAGACTCACGCCCTGGGTCCTGCAGAGCCGGGCAGCGCTCCTCCGCATGGCCCCCGTGGTCCACGCTGTTCTCGGTGCCTGGCTCCTCCTGCCTGGGGGCTGGCGAGGCACTGGGCTGCACCATGGGGACATTGGCTTCCCTTCTGTCTGGGGACGTGGATCCTGCAGCTCCTCCCTCAAGAACCGAGCTGCCGGAGGAGTCGGTCTCATCAGAACCAGCCGGGGCTGCACCAGTCTCGTTGGCCTCTCCCCTCGTGGGGCTGGGCACCGCTCCACTCACGTTCTCTGCTGGCTCCACTGTGAAATCTCTCTGCGGAGGTGGCACCACCAGGAACAGTTTGGGCTTCTTGGAAATGGGGGGTGGCTTCTTGCTGGGCGAAGGTCCGGGGGCCCTCTGGAGCGGGGCGGTCCCGGGGCCCGGCCCGGCCTCCGCCTCCCCGGCACTGCCCGGGCTGCGGCTCGGGCGGCCACGCTCGGCTGCACCGTCCCAGTGACCCTGACTCATGATCTTGGCAGGAGTCGGAAGCGGGCTTGTCACGGAGGCAGGCTGGCTTTCACTCTCCATTTCATTTATGCTATTTCGGGATTTCAGCAAGGCAGATGGCTTTAAATGATACTGGGGCACCGGCGGAGTTCGTTTTTCCTGAGATGCTGGTTCAGATAGCGGTGCTCCCTGGGTTCCTGAGTTCCTTCTCACCGGCCTGAGCTGCACCGTCTGCAGGGCCTCGGCGGTGATCAGGGGCAGGGGAGGCCTGCCGCCCTCCTCCGTGGTCCCCGGCGGTCTGCAGGCCTCCTGGGGGGAGGTTGGCTGGCTAGATTTTTTGAATGAAGGCCTGGCATCTTTCATCAATTTGGGGTCGAGTGGCGGGGCAGGAGGAGGGGCCGAGGGGGGTAAAGACGGTGGAGGGGGTAGCACCGGGGCAGGTGAGTCCAGAAGGGGGCTCCGGGCGGTGGGGGGAGGAGGAAAGCCTGCATTGGGCGGAGAACAGAAGGGAGTGAGAACCTCTGGGGGCGGAGGGGGGAACAGGGGAGACGGAGGCAGAGGGCCCTCGGGGGAGTCTGCTGAAGGCGGCGGAGGAGGGAGGAAAGGAGACTTGTCCGCAGGACATGGAGATGAAGGAGAGGGGAGAGAAGGGGCAGCAGGCAGAGAGGCCGGCGCCGAGTCCAGCCTCTTCACCGTCCCGCCTCCCTCCGTGGACGTATTAGAGGACAGGGACGTGGACGACGAGGAGATGGAGAGCGAAGACACCAGGGAGGACTTCCTCTCTGGAACCTTGGGCTTGGGCTTGCCCTTCCCATTGGCGGGTGACATGGACTTTAAAAACACAGGCACGGGGGTGAGCGCGGTGGGCGTGTTGGACTGGCTGGAATACCCGCTGGACGGGGAGGTGACTCGGTGGGCCTTCTCGGGCGATGTGGTCTTTGGTTTGACGGAGCCGCCGGGCAGGTGGGGCGCGGCGGCCCTGCACCCCTCCGGGACGTGGTGGCCCGGCCCGTTGCCAGGTGGCGCCCCGCTGCCAGCCGCACGGCCCCCGCCGGGGCTCGCAGGGTCGTCCTGCAGGCCCGTGTAGTCGATGTAGTAGCCCCACGGGTCTGTGTACTCGGACTTGACGCTGCTCGTGTCGCTCTGGGACGGGGTGACCCCGCCCGGCGCGCAGCCGTGGGGCGCGGTGGCGGAAGCCAGGCTGCTGCCCCCGCTGACGGTGCTCTGGCTGCGGGAGCGCGGCAGCCACGGCTCCTCCAGGTCGCTGCAGGGGCTCTGCGAGGGCGACAGGCCGCCCTGGCCCCGGAGGCTCAGCTGCAGCGAGTGCTGGAGGGAGGCGATCAGGCTCTCGTTGAGCACCTGCCCGTTGGCCTGGCCGATCTTCTTGGGGACCCTGCGCAGCGAGTCCGTCCGAGAGGGGGGCAGGGGCGGCTTCTTTGCTTTCTTCAAGGAGATGTTTCGAGAATGGGATTTGTCCCCCTGGTTTTTCGGAGCTCTTCCATCAAAAACATTGACCACGCTGTGCCTGGGGTTCCCAAAGCCATTGCTGCTGTTGCTGCTGCACAGACTCCCGGGCCCAGCATCGGGGTGCACTGCGTAGTAGCCATCATGGTCCTCTGAATACAGAGACCTGGCGCCCTCTCTGTGGCACGTGTGGTCCAAGCTGCAGCTGCTCATGTTACTTCCAGGAGTGGAGCAACCAGGAGTCGCCACGTGAGGCTTCAGGGGGGATGCCCGCCCGCTCCCCGAGGCACTGTATTCCCAGGGCTCCCCATCACCATGCCCCCCGCCTCCCGAGTAACTGGGCTCGCTCTTGCCGTCCACGTCCTGGGGGTGGGCTGGGAAGTTCGGGTTCCTTCTACAGGTATAGGCCATGGCTTGGGACCCGTTCTCCTGGTTTGCTGGTGTGTTGAGGGAGACTGCCGAGTCACAGAGGGCCAGAAGCGTGGCTGCCCTGGGCGGGTGGGGGTCAAAAGCCTGCGAGACGATGGTGGAGGGGCCCTCACTCCAGGTACCACCGGGAGATGGGCGGTCACCTTCAACAGAGTGCCTGGGCAGCAGGTGGTCTCTGGATCTCACCTTTGTGTGGGAAGAGGAGCTGGTCTTTCTACTGTCCAGCTGCCCCAAACTCTGAGCAGTCTGAATAGCAATAACCTCTGAGGAGGAGGAGAGGGTGGCGTTGGGGATGACGCTGGTGCTGTACGTCCCGTGGGGAGACACCACGCACGCTGGGCTTGCTCTGTTTTCACTCTCAAAGTGCCTCAGCTCCTGAGACTTGGGCCTAAAGAGCGTTCCGGTCCTTGAGGCACCTCCTAACTGCCCTGGGTTTTGGAACGTGCCATCCAGGTCTTGCACAGGGCCCGGGGCGCCCGGCCGGGGCTCCAGGAACTGAATGCTGGCCCTCGCTCCGGATCGGGGGAGGCTGTGGAAACCCGCATCGGTGTTGAGGCGAGAGGGGAACACGATGCCCGCAGAATCGCTCAGCACGGACATGTTCCCGGAGGAGCCTGAGAAGTGGCTCATCTGGGCGGCGATGCCCTGCCCCTTCTGGGCCCTGATTCTCCGCATGGAAGGCGGCACGACCTTCACCTCCTCCGTCTGACAGCTGGAGTCCCGGGTTTCCGAGCGCTGCCCCGCAAGCCGGCAGCCGCCAAGCCTTCCTAGTGTGGAGCAGTGCTCGGGGGCGTACACCGAGTGACCACCAACACCATCCTGGCTGGTGCCAGAGGCTGCAGATAAAGCAGAAGGAGGCTTGTTACCTAAAACTCGGGCTCTTAGTTCATCACCTGAACCCTCACCTCTTTCTGACTCTGCTGTATTTAATATAACACACACACACACACAAACTTCTCTATGTCATCTATTTTCTTTCCTCCCACAGGCACCTGAGTGAGTTTAAATAGTTACCAAATAGCTCCTAAAATAAAAGTACTTATTATGAATTTCATGTACTTAATTTGTACTTCCAAATCCTCCTATAGATTAAGTGCTGCATATGGAATTCTTAGGTACCCCCTTTGAGATTAAGGCTGAGAGCTCTGTGGAAGGTTTACTTTTCAAGTGACCTTTCGGTTTTGTAAAGATTTCAAAGTAGCCAGTCACCTACGAGGCGCCTGCCCAGAGCATCTGTCACGCAGAGACTGACTTTTCCAAAGACAGATGAATGCAGCAGTTCAACAACAGGGCTCCAAAGATACCATTTATGAAGGATATGGGTATAAAACAGTGTTAATTTCTGTGGCAGAAGAAAATCCTAAGAAAAAGAAAAATGATTTATAGGCCCATCTGTGTTTCAAACATTTCTATTATCCAACTCAAGCCATTATCATCTGTCTGTCAGTGACATTCAAAATTCAACAGCAATCTGTTGTGTGCTGGTAGGGAAAAAGCAGCGGGAACTGATCCAGTGAGCATTTCCTCAAATTAGCGTTATTCATTTCTTGGAGCTTTACAAAAAGAAAAAAGCATAAGGAAGGGCAAACAGAGAGGGAAGTGGAGGAGAAAACACCTCAAATGTAGATAACAAATTTCAAGTACCTAGGAAAGAAGAGAAGCTTTAAAAAAAATCGTGAAGGCAAAATGTACAGAGAAAAAAATCAATTCATGCAGAGTAATCATTAGGACAAATTAAGTCTTGAAAATTAGTAGCAAAACTACAGTTCTCTCTGGACAGTTCTCACCCAACAAGGACCTGAAAAGAGCTCAAGCAGGGGCTTGCTGAGTGATGCTGGTTGGGCACCCACCAGCACCACTGCTCACCGGCAAGCACACTGGTGGTGATGGGATTCTGGAGCCCTCCCTCCACACCCCACATTAATCCCCAAGTGCAACTAAAGCCTTGTGCTCATCCAAACAGCAAAGCACTTAACTAAAATGGCAGCAATGTTCCTGGTACAAACCCCAAGAAGATGTCACCCTGTGGAGGCAGGCACCCAGCACAAAGCCCTTCCCTTCACTGTGCTGATGGAGAATCATTTTTGTACTCGTATCTCTACCCAACAGGATCCATTTCCTTCTCCTTCCCCTCTGCCAAGTACCCACTCACTAAAGACACACACAAACTCACACACACACACTCACACATATGCATATGAGGTTCTCCCTTAGAAAGAGCAGGAGCAAGCAAGAGGGCAGGAACTGAAGAAAAATCCACTTTGAGGAAAGAAACAAAAGGCACATGTTTTGCCATTTGGTACAAGTATAGAAGGTGGGAGCCTGGCTTGTATGGCCCTATCAGTTTGTACCAGTTTGATTCCAAACATTAAAGATACCTAGTCTACTCAATGATGGGATTTAATATCCTTTCTCCCCTCCCCGCCCCCCAAAAAATTATAGTAGTTTTTGCATGGGATCAATGGTAGATTTTTAACTGTCTCTAAGGCCCATAATGTCCGGCTTATTTAAGGTTACAATTTTGAACGTGAAACCATTCTAGGCTTCTGAAAATGGGAATATAGCCACTTCTTCCCCATCTACAGCCAAGTACAATTTTCTTAAGATAACCCTATTTTTCTAAAGCCCTTTTAAAATGGAAAAACTCGTATATATTTAACAGAGAGACCACCAAAATTCTATTTCCAAAACAGGTCCTCCAATATTTTCACACTACTAAAAGTATCACAATATTACAGATTCAGATGCTACATTGATTAGAATTAAAGAACAAAATCAGACTACAACAAGAGAATTATAAACAATCAGATGCTGCTAAAAATATTGATGGGATTTATCTGATTTAAAAATATATTGTAAAGAAATAATTATGTATATATATTTTTTTACTTATTATATAATACTATAAGGGTTTTTAAATTTTTAAAGAACACATGTAATTAAAGATAGAAATATACTAGTTAATTTTAAGGTTTACATAGGATTTTTAAAAAGTCTTATCAGCAAAATACCTAGGAATAAACTTAACTAAGGAGGTAAAAGACTTATATGCCAAAAACTACAGGACACTGAAAAAAGAGATAGAGGAAGACATAAACAGATGGAAGAACATACCGTGTTCATGGATTGGTAGAATCAACATCATCAAAATGTCCATACTACCCAAAGCAATCTATAGATTCAATGCAATCCCCATTAAATTACCAACGGCATATTTCACAAATCTAGAACGAACGTTCCAAAAATTCATCTGGAATAAAAAAAAGACCCCGAATAGCTGCAGCAATCCTGAGAAAGAACAAAGTAGGTGGGCTCTCAATACCAGATATCAAACTGTATTACAAAGCCACTGTTCTTAAAACAGCTTGGTACTGGCACAAGAACAGACATATAGATCAATGGAATAGAATAGAGACCCCAGAAATCGACCCAAACCACTATGCCCAATTAATATTCGACAAAGGAGGCAAGAGCATACAATGGAGTCAAGACAGTCTCTTCAATAAATGGTGTTGGGAAAATTGGACAGATACATGCAAAAAGATGAAACTAGACCACCAACTCACACCATACACAAAAATAAACTCAAAATGGATAAAAGACTTAAACGTAAGACGGGAAACCATAAAAATACTAGAGGAATCCACAGGCAGCGAAATCGCAAACATTTGCCGAAGGAATTTCTTCTCTGATAATGCTCCTAGGGCAATGGAAACTAAAGAGACAATAAACAAATGGGACTACATCAAAATAAAAAGCTTTTGCACAGCAAAGGAAACCATCAACAAAACAACAAGAAGACCCACTACATGGGAGAACATATTTGCCAATGATACCACCGATAAGGGTTTAATTTCCAACATTTAAAGGGATCTCATGAAACTTAACAAAAGGAAGATAAACAATCCAATAAAAAAATGGGCAACGGACCTAGATAGACACTTTTCGAAAGAGGACATACAGAAGGCCGAAAGACATATGAAAACATGCTCAAAGTCACTAATTATACGAGAGATGCAAATCAAAACGACAATGCGTTATCATCTCACACCTGTCAGAATGGCTATCATCAACAAATCAACAAACAACAAGTGTTGGAGAGGATGTGGAGAAAAAGGAACCCTTCTGCACTGCTGGTGGGAATGCAGACTGGTGCAGCCACTGTGGAGAACAGTATGGAGCTTCCTCAAAAAACTAAAAATGGAACTCCCATTTGACCCAGTGATCCCACTACTAGGAATATATCCCAAGAAACCAGAAACGCCAATCAGAAAAGATATATGCACCCCTATGTTCATAGCAGCACAATTCACCATAGCTAAGATTTGGAAACAGCCTAAGTGCCCATCAGCAGGTGAGTGGATTAGAAAACTGTGGTACATATACACAATGGAATACTATGCTGCGGTAAAAAAAAAAGGAACTCTTGCCTTTTGCAACGGCATGGATGGAACTGGAGAGCATTATGCTATGTGAAATAAGCCAGTCAGAGAAAGATAAATACCACATGATCTCACTCATTTGTGGATTATAGAGAACAACATAGACTGATGAAATGGGACAGATCCAAAGACTGAGAAACAGCGATCAGGCTATCAATCCCCAGAAGGAAAGTAGGGGAGGGCGGGGGTAAGGGGAAGAGCTCAACCGAAGGACTTGTATACATGTATATAAGCCAAACCAATGGACATGGACAACAGGGGGATGGGAGCATGAGTGTGAGGGGTGGGGGGGGGGGGAGGTTGGGGGTTAATGGGGGGGGGTGAGGACACATTTGTAATACCTTAACTAATAATAATAATAAAAAATAATAATAATATAAAAAGTCTTATCAGCACCTGTAACTAATATATTATTGCATGTCAAGTATAATTGAAAAATAAATCTTAAAAAGTCTTGGCAGGTCTTTAGTAATGTTTTTAATACAAACTATCAGAAATTATTCAGAAGGAGATTCCTTTAAATGAGGCTTTTTCTGCTTGGGAAACACATATTGGGATAAGTTCCAGAAATAGCCAAATATAATTACACATCAACAAAATAATCCTATCTGAGTCTAAAAAATAAAAGAAACCTCACAACAGGGTGTTCAAATATATTTCAATGTATGTTTAAGATAAGATTAAAGAAAAAAAAATTGTATCCGATTTATTTAAATAGAAGGCAACAAATAATAAGTCATCAAATATACTTTGGAAGTAAATAGAAAATATCATAACCTTGATTTTAAAGTGTTATATATTAGCTAGTCTCTAGAGTCCATTTACGTATTTTGAAGTAAAAGCTGCATATAATTAAGCATAATATAAATATAACTCTAATTCTGGACACACCTCTGGTTAGATTTTTAAAAAATCCAAAGCCCTGGCAACCTGGGTAGTGTTTAGTGGACAGGACATCTAGAAAATTCCTAAAATGAATAAAGAAAAAAATATGATTGAATTTTTCCCCAAAATGTTACTATATTCAAATGTTATTTTCCCCTTATTCTATCCACCATTCCTTCCAACTAGTATACCTATAAAACTAGTCATTGTGCCCTGGCCAGTGTGCACAATGGTTAGAGCACTGGCCCTGCACCAAAGGGTTGTGGGTTCAATTCCCAGTCAGAGGCACGTACCAGGGTTGCAGGTTCAATCAGGGCAAGTGTGAGAGACAAACAACAGATGTGTCTTTCTCACATCAATGTTTCTCTCTCTCCCACCCTCTTTCACACTCTCTAAAAATTAATGGAAAAAATATCTTCGAGTGAGGATAAAAACAAAAAATGAGAGTCATTGTCTAATTTTCTTTCTTTCTTTTTTTTTTTTTAACTAGTTCTAACTTAGATATAGCTGTCTCAGTTGACCTCCAGCTGTGATCCAGGTCATATTATTGACTGTGCAATGACATCAGCTGCTGCATATCTGGCAACAATCACAACATTGATGATATGGGGAAAGCTATTTTCTTTCTGCCAGCCTTAAGAGTGGTTCCATGTCACATGCAAAAGAGAAATAAACTTGAGCTCCAGGGGCTCAAACATAAATTTAAAAAATATTGCCCTGACCGGTTTGGCTCAAGGACATGTACCTTGGTTTCGGGCACATCCCCAATGGGGAGTGTGCAGGAGGCAGCTGATCGATGTTTCTCTCTCATCGATGTTTCTAACTCTCTATCCCTCTCCCTTCCTCTCTGCAAAAAATCAATAACATATATTTAAAAAAAAATAAAATAAAAATAAATAAAAAATATTACAATGACAGAAGATATGAGTTACCAAGCTGGCCAAATCATTCCAGTTAAGTCAAACAGGCAAGTGAGGGATTGGCCGATACTGGTTGGCTCAGTAAAAAAAATGATAAATATTCATAATTCTGAGGTTCTAGAATTCATATTACATGCATATATAGATAATTTATACTGAATACTTAATGTGCATGTGCATCTTATCTGGGCCAAACTATTCTTACACCCTTTGCACAAAGCCATCCAAAACCTAGCTTTCCAACCAAATGTAACCTACTCTTGAAACATCAACCTTGTTAACTTACAAAGGGTCTATCTTTAAAGTTGCTCCTTTTGGTTAAGACACACCTCTTAAAGATCAGTTCAAATACAAATGTTACCTGAGTCCTGTAAGAGATTAGCTCATTAAGCACCTACCGAACATACATGTACATATTAATTTCTCAAATTAATTAGCCGTCATCTAAGAGAAAAAAAAGTTTGAAGGAACGATACAGGAGGACTGGCCACTAAAAAAAGCAGCATAGCCCTAACCGGTTTGGCTCAGTGGATAGAGCGTTGGCCTGCGGACTCAAGGGTCCCAGGTTCGATTCCGGTCAAAGGCATGTACCTTGGTTGTGGGCACATCCCCAGTGGGGAGTGTGCAGGAGGCAGCTGATCAGTGTTTCTCTCTCATCGATGTTTCTAACTCTCTATCCCTCTCCCTTCCTCTCTGTAAAAAATCAATAAAATATATTTTAAAAAAAAAAGCAGCATGTGGGGGCATGAACCAGAGGCAGACCGCACAGTCCTGTGGGTGTAACCTTGCCTTCGTTCTAACCCCTGTGTTATGGGATGAGACGAGCACCTGGACGTCGTCTGGGTCACTGGAGCTACCCACAGCAGAAGCGAAGCTCTGCTATTCTTGTCTCCTTGCTGCAGTCCGGGAGGCCGAGCATACATACTGGGGAACTGAATGGCAGTCAAAGAGGAAATGTCAGGTAAAGAAGAATGAGCAGGGGTGCCGGGAAAACAGACATAGGAACAGTGTCTATAGCCCCTGGAAGCTGAAATGCTGCCTCAAAGTGCTATAACAGGCATACCACTATGGCTAGGATACATTCATTTTAACTAAGAGACAAGTTCAGAAGGAAGAATTCTGAGTTTCTAGAGTAAAACCTTTAACAGTAAATGAAAGTAAAAACATCAGGTGAAAGTACTCATAATGAAATAAGTCCAGAGGTTGGCTGAAGAGAAAGGCACGTTTCTGGAAGGGTAGTATTAAGTTCCCTACAATAATTACAATAGCACCTATTATGCTCAGACTAGTACCAGATACCGAGGGCTTCCCTATATTAATTCATTAAATCCAAACAACCCTCCCTTGAATGAGGAAGCAGACTCAGAGAGGTGAAGGAACCAGCCGGAGGTCACCCAGAGAGTTAGTGGCAGAGGTCGGGTCCAAATCCAAGCAGCCTGGCGCCAGAGTCCCTGTGCTGACCCAGTCTGCCTTGTTGCCTCTGCAGACATTCCTGATGGGCCCATTAAAAAACAGAGAAGTGAAGATAGAAAGAGGAGAATGAAGAGATTATCCACAGTGTATATACAGATAAGCAGAAACAAATGGATAAGTGAATAATGAAGTAAACAACCTCTCCACTAGCTAGTTTTTTTATTTGTGTTTTTTCTGTTTTTATCACAGGTTGAAAAATACTGACCCAAAATCTATGAAGTTGTTTCACTGGAAGTACAGAAATGCACTATCCAACCTAAACGACTATTTTCTATCATACTAGTAGTTACTAATTATCCCCCACTGCTGTCTCTTTGATGACAATGCCACCGATATTGTCAGTATAACTAATGAAGTCCATTTTCGTAACTTGAAGTTCTAGAATGAGTTTTCAGTTTTATGAAAACTTTAAAATCTAAATGAAAAGTAAATTTCATTGTGGCAATTCCCTACTGTTCAAGGTACATGGAGATGATGACATAACTGAATTTCTACCATCCCAGTGAACAGTTTTCATATTAACTTCTCGTCTTACCTTGTCACCAAAACTCAATACATCATCTACATGGGGTGTTAAGATTTGTACCCAGTGCCTCATTCAGAAAAGAAGCTGGCCCTTTGGGGCATCAAATGGCTATCAGAATGTATCGATTTCATAAGCATCACAGATGAGGTTAGCATAGGAATGCTGAGCAGCAATGAGGGGCAACAGAATACAGTTCTGATGAGCCATACCTAGCTCCTTCTGTATGTTGTCAGGGACTCCTGTAATAGTCTTTCTCCTTTTGACTTTCTTCGGTCGTCTTACCAGAGTGTCTGTGTAAATTAGAGACCGCCGTAGGCTGGCCTGACGATCGAAATTCTCCCCTAATGTAGAGTAGTAGAACAAGCAAAGCAATGTTATTTTCAAGCAAGCTGACACCATGCACTTTCTTCCAGAAGCTTGTTGTCAAATGCTAAGAAGGTATTAATAATGATGTTAGCCAGTCATATGGTGATGAATGAATGCTGAAGGGCAAAAAGGGAAGGAAAGCACATTATCATCATAAGGCTCTTTTCCAATTTCTCTGTGTGTGTCCTTCCAAAGGAAGCACCTGGATCTCATTTCCAAATGAGCTGGAGTGGAAAATGCAAATTTGTTAACAACACGCCAGAAGAGTGATTCTGCATTATTTTAACCATGAGTCATCGGGGAAGTGCTTCACGTAGGTCCTCTGGTCTCAGACATCACTCATTACATCAGCGTGCATGTGAGGATGGCAATAAATGTACCTTAACACATTTCGTACCGCTCAGGAGTTTTCTCGTGTTCCGCGCGCCATCTGTTAAGGACCGCTCACGAGTGTTCTCGTTTTTCACGCCCATGGAAAAAGGAGCGAATCTAGATACTTATGTAAATTTTGTTTGGTCCCTCTTCATAGAGGAAAATGTTTTACGCAGTGCCATACGTTACAAAAGTACTAGGAACTTTAATTGTTTTTGTAAATAAAAATGTTATAATTATTGAAAAACAACACCTAAAGTGCATTATGATGATTTAAATAACGTGCAGTTTGCCCAAAAACGTGCGGTCCCTGGTGTATGTCTTAGAGATTCCTATGCAGTATGCAATGTGTTAATCATTCAGTCAACCATCACAATGTCCCATCCTATGTGATGAAACAGATAACAGTCAAGAACTCTCAGATGAAGAGTTTTTCCTCCAGTCAAGGAGGCCAACAATTTGGACAGACTGCGGAAATGAGCTGTGGTGCGAGATACTATAATGAAAAATAAAAGCCTTATAATGATAAAGTACTTTTACCACAATGAGACCCAGTAGCACTGCTGTTGTTAAAGCTGAACTGCTTCTTTAGTTCACAGTCACTTATAATAGTCGATCTGAATTTAGATATTTCAGGTAATGCTGCAATCAATCCCCAAATGTCAGATCCACAGGACTTCTTTCTCTCGAGAATGTGAGCTTGTGTGGTTGACACACAATGGGAAAACATTAAAAAATAAAGTATCAGTTTTTGATTGGTCTGCTTTAAATGACTTGCCAGCTAAATTAAAGAAAGCTTTATAGCACTGACCTTGTCAAGTGGTTATCTCCTCAAAAAGAGATTTTAAAAATACATATATACACACAAATTATGTACTTCCATCATTCTTTTGTTGTGAGAAAAGTATAAAAGCATTCTCTCTTTTTAGCAATATTGACACATTCAAAGTGGGTATTTTGTGAACAAGGTACTTTCTATTATAATAGCAATAAGTTGTAAATAAAACTTTAATCAAAACAGACAATAAAAGAGCTGAATGATCAAACTACATTTCACCTACTAAGGAACAAACTTCAACTTGAAAATGCTTGCCTCTTTGTTCCTAATGGAGGAAAACAGAAACCATTGAGAGAAGACCCTGCAACTCCAGAAGGTACCACCACTGTAACAAACGTGTCGCTCTGTGCAACAACATACAAGGTGCTTGTAAGTGGCAAGTCATGCCTTCAACGCTCCATTAGTTCCCTGCAGCAGAGCGGAAAAGACTTCCTTGTATCAAGGCGTTAAAATTGGTTAAAACCTAATAGACAGTTGCATTTAGTCTCCAGTTTTGCTTCCTAAACAAAAACAAAAGATAAACCACTCAAGCTCCCAGGAAATTAAGAAACAAACCATGAGGATAGAATCACCATTAAAGATGCCAAACTTGCCTTAGCTGGTTTGGCTCAATGTTTAGAGTGTTGGCCTGTGGACCAAAGGGTCCCAGATTCGATTCCAGTCAAGGGCACATGGCTGATAGATTCCCAGCATGGGGCATGCAGGAGGCAGCCGATTAATGATTCTCTCTCATCATTGATGTTTCTATCTCTCTCTCTCCCTCTTCCTTCCTCTCTGAAATCAATAAAAATATTTTGGGGGGAAAAAGTTATCAATTAAATAAATAAAAATAAAGGCGTCAAACTCTCCATCTTGCACTGTTACCTAAAAGGACTGTGCTCCCTGCTGGACTATACATTTCTTGAAGGCAGGGACCACGATTCATGTCAATGCCTGACACAAAGTAGTTATTCAGTAAATACTGAATATTCAGTAAATATATGAGAGGAATTGAATCATTCTCTTTCACTGAAAAATGGCATTAGTCAGTCAGGCTTACTACTTAGAAATAAATTTTGCTGGCTCAAACATCAATACAAAGCCAGTTTGTAAAAACTGCTTCAGTATGTTTACCCACTCTTATTTTCCAGGTGGAAGAGTTGTTATCCCACATGGCAGATTATGAAACATACTCATATATACATTTATTTTAAACATTTTTTTCTCTTCAACATTTAGAACATGCTGAGTCCCACAGAACTACAACTAAAGGGGTTAAATTGGTTTCCAAGCTTGCAGCTCATCACGCTACTGCTCTACCTCTATGCCTGGCGGGCTTCCCTCTGGATTTGAAATAATATATTTGTCGGCACTTTCCCCCAGCTGAACCTTACTGAAATCAACTAGACGTTCAATGTTTACCCAAATAAGTGAGCATTTGACAATTCCCAACAGGAAGTACATTTTTATCTCAAGAGTCATCTGGGGCTTTAGAAAATGTCATTTAAATAGCAGGAAACTGTCTAACCTAGGTCAATTCAACTACTAAAAGTGACAGTTTTTAATTTAATGCTTTTTTATATCAGAATATTAGAAAAACTACTCCCTTTATGAAATATATGTATGTGTACCTGAACACATGTATCCAAAAAATGGATCAATACATATGTAATTAGAAATTATATTTAATTTCTACATTTCTGAAAACATTAACCACACAAAAATACATTGCATTTTGATATAACTCATATTGCTCTTTTTTTTTTTGTCATTAACCTTTCCTGTGTGGCATTCTGAAGGCCTCCTTTTAAACTTTATGTAATTCATATCAAACAGGAGAGAATTAAAGCTCAAAGAAAGGACACTGTCTCCTGTTGTGACAATGCATTTCATTGTAAATAATTCATTACTCCTAAAATTCTAGTTACTCTGCTTTAAATTTACTAATGTCACAATAATATATTTTATCCTAATTCCATTACAGATTGTCATATTTCATAGCACAATCTATTTATGATATTATTCCTGAGGCACTTAATCATACATAATTACATTTCTGCTGCATTTAATCAATCAAATAATGTAATGCATATTCTTACTGAAAATATGCACCTATGTACTTCATTGAGCAATAAACATTATACTTTGTTCTGAAACATAACTACTTATAATAATAATCTTTAAAAAAATATGATCTCTAGGTGAACAAGAATCACATTCAGAAAGATCAATGATGTTATCTGCAAAGAAAATGGATTAAAATGCCATGATATTCTTCCTTTAAGGCTTATGCACAATAAATGTGTGAAATGCACATGGAATTGAAAATAATTCATGCACTTATTTATTACATTTCTCTGGAATTCAAAATGAGTTCTAAAAGTAATTTTTAAGTGCAAGGTTTTTAAAAATTCTCCAATAACTATCAAAATGTCATTAGTCCTTTAAAAATTAACCAATGCCATGGCAAAAAGCTTTGTAATGGCAGTCAACAGTAATAGTCTCAGAAATGCAGCAAGTTTGCTACGGTTTTCACCCTACTTTTTAATGAAAACTCATCCTTACTGGTCACCTGATTTCTTTTAGATTCTAGCCCTGTAAGCCATGCTTTGTATGGACTGATATCAATGATGACGATCAGTACTCTATTTCTTTCTACCACACAGTCCAATGGCTGAAGCTATTAACCCTTAACACATCTATTTTGCACTGTGTACATGCCTACCAACGTGATAAAACAGGACAATTTTGATATTTTTAACAGCTCATCTAAGTTTGTGAAATACTGACTTTGAACTTCATGTACCTTGTAATTTGTCACCTTTAATTATCACAGGTGATTCAAACTTGAGCATACTATTCTAAAAGAACTTGAATTTTACACGTGGCGATTTATATTCTAAAAATTTATATTAAAAAATTAACTTTTATTTGAAGATTGTAGAATTCAAATTTTAGGGATCAAAATATAACTTTATCATCCTATTGAGTTTTCTTTAAAATATGTTTTCTAGTTATTATTGTTAATTCACTTGATATTTTTATTTCAAGTAATTTTTCCCTCTTTTACCTGAGAAAACAAAAAGGTAAAATCTATCATTAAGAAATATCACAAAATTGTTGTTTTTTTTTTAACTTTTATAAATATTACTTAAAATAGCCCTTTAGGAAAAAAAAAAACGCACATAGTTTTTCTTATCCAAAATCACATTTAGAATATGTCTCCATATAATCAAAATATATTTTAAAGGTAAGTCAATTTAAAACGACAGGCTTTAAATGAGTGGCTGGACCACGGAGTTCTTCCACATCAATCTTTGGTGACACAGTCTTCTAACTTAAAAGCAATAGTTATTTTACATGTACACATGTGCACAAATATGTTTTAGTATTCCCTTCATTAAGTAAAGGAATATACACATATTACAGCTTTCCCTCTGATGCATAAAATGCTAAGTGCATATGACAGCAACAACAGAAAGCCACAGCCACTCTCCGGAGTACATTATGAACCTTGTCTACACAGCGAAGCATACCGGTTATGTTAATAGGAACCACATCAGCCTGGACTGTCTGGGCGTGCAGTCGCATCTTCTCTTCTGGTGTTGGCAAGGGAAGAGACTGGGCCCAGTTCGTCTGAGAATTAAGGTCAGGGAAGTCACTTGAGGTTGGCGTTTTAGGTCTCCTGATGGAAATATGTCTTTCCTCTTCCAAGGAGGAGATAGAACCCTGTAGGCAGAATGAGGAAAAAGAAGCCACAGTGTATAAAGAGATGACAGAAACATTTTTTTAAAATTTAAACTGATTTGAAGCAAAAAAAATAAACAAACAAACAAAAAAACACCTGGTCACATTTAGGAACAGAAGCAATGGTTTGCAAGAACTCTCTCTGCTCAGTATCCTGAGCATGACCCGTAATATTTATGATTTGCAGAGGCCAGTCTCTAAACCATGACTGTGAAAGGTTTTGCTGACCCACAGAATCTTAAGTTCTTCCTGTTTCCTGTGGTCAGAAGATTATGGATTCAGTTTAACATAAGAAGCCCAGAGACACAACACGGCTGTGACCATCAATTTCCATTTTTATTAAAATGTAGTTTGGCTCAAAATAATTTCTAGCCTCAATCTCATTTCCTTTAGGCTCTGGCCTCAAGGGACATTTAGAAAATGATAGAGCTATTGTTGTTTGACTAATTGTACTCTTCTGAAACCATTTATATGGAAAAATATTTGTGTGAAATTGTTTACTTATAAGAAATTGACTAAAGCTGTGCTCTGAGCCTTATCAGAATTCCATGAGAACATTTCTAGCAGTGTCGGTTTTGATACAGATTAACATCCTAACTGGGGACCGTCTGTAATACCGTTCCTCCCATAACATCTTAAAAAGTGTAAGCAAGTGCCCTAACTGGTTTGGCTCAGTGGGCAGAGCGTCAGCCTGCGGACTCAAGGGTCCCAGGTTCGATTCCGGTCAAGGGCATGTACCTTGGTTGCGGGCACATACCCAGTGGGGAGTGTGCAGGAGGCAGCTGATCAATGTTTCTCTCTCGTCGATGTTTCTAACTCTCTAACTCTCTATCCCTCTCCCTTCGTCTCTGTAAAAAAATTTAAAAAAATAAAAAAAATATGCATTTTGGCAAGCATCTGATGATGGCCCCGTGGCAACTGGGTTGGTGAGAAGGAAGCTCCAAGAATTCAAAAGAAATACACTGTGCTCAGGCACAACAACAAAAAGGGGTAATTGACTTTTGTTGGGAGATGGCAGTTTATAATAAGAAAAAATGTATGAGAACAGTTCTTCAAGTTGAAAGCATTTAAATTACCACCTATGAAAACAAGGCACTTAAAAGAGTTTTATTTAAGAATAAAAAGTCAGTGAATCTTCCCAAGGGAACACCTATAAAACCCGGACCCAGGTCACTTCAGCAGCTCTCCTCTCCCCCAAAGCAAGGGTAACTGCTGTCCTGACTTCTAACATCACAGCGTCCTTGGCCTGTATTGAATTTTCTGTAAAGGAAAAGTTCTGCAGGTCTCTTTTGTGACTTCTTTCACCCAACATTTGATTTGGACAGATTGATACTTTTTAAAAAAATACTTATTTTTTATTGATTTCAGAGAGAAGAAGGGTGAGGGAGGGAGAGATAGAAACATCAATGATGAGAGAAAAATCACTGATCTGCTGCCTCCTGCACGCCCCCTGCTCCCCAAATGAGAATCAAGCCTGCAGCCTGGGCATGTGCCCTGACTGGGAATCGAATTGTGACCTCCTGGTTCATAGGTCAACACCCAACCACAGAACCACACCACCCAGGCAAGGATTGATCCATTTTTAAAAAGCATATGTTGATGCCTTTTTGGATTAAATGCAAGTTTTTAAGAGGACATCAGTAAGAAATCTATAGAAACCCATCATTTAGAAATCTCAAACACTTAGAAGAGAACACTGTCATCATTACTGTTAATGAATTAACCTACCCACACAATACCTGTATTTATTCTACAAGTACCGCACTCCACAATCTGAAGAGGGCTACACAGAACAGATGAAAATGGTTTGGCGTGTTAGGGATAGGGTCTTAGGTGAAGAATCCAAACACCGGAGTCTATTCACTTTATAACTTACAGTCAAGGGGCCTTTAGGCTGTTCCTAAATGTTGAGGTCCCTTGCTGTAAAATTGGAATATCTTGTTCTCTTAGGACCTCATGAGAGGATAGCTGTGGAAATGTCTAGGACAGTTAAATGTCATGGCCATAAAGGTGGTGGTCATATAAATGCGACTTCCTGAAAACAAAACCATGAATTGACAAGTACCTGCACTTTTCTCTTATTGCAAGACTATCCATAATAAATGCATTATAGAAATAAAAATATAAATTATATAACTAGACATCTCAGTATTTTATACTTGAAATTCTTAATGCATAAAACATGTAAAATGATATTCTACTTTCTTTTTCACCTAAAGAAACTATAAAATGTCTGTAATTAAATAACGAACATACTCAAGTGGAGTATATGTTACTGACATCTTAATCATGATACTAAATTACACCATATCCATTCATGTTTGATCTGACACTAGTTACAGCTCCTACAGATCCTGAAAAGACAAAGGAATGTTTTGAGTCGGCCGCAGCAGCGAAGCCAGGCTGACATAAATCAATTATTTCTGCCCCCTTTGCAGCTGTGCTACTCTTGTTAAGTTTGATTTATAATACAGATTCTCTACTCTTACACTGTAGCTACACATTCACATAAATAAAAGAACATTTTGAGAATTTCATATCAATTTGTGTAAAGGTCACATGTCTGACGTTGAAGCTTAATCCAGTAAATTAAAAGGTCACTCGAATTTTCTGACATATTTACATAGAAATAATTCCCCAGGCAACCTTGAAATATAACACAAATTTCGAAGGCCGTAAGAAGCACATCCTAACTGAAAGTTTTAAAAGAAAGGAAAGCTTCAGATGGCCAGAGAATAAACAGCACGGTGACATCCTGCGGAGAGGGTTCCCGTTTCGTGTGACGTCCGCTGGAGGGACCTGGAGGAGCTTGGTTCTGTGGTTTGCATGTGTCTCAGCGGTGCTCACCAGGCCTCGTAACCTACTTTTCTTTCAGTTGTCAGAATCGATAACTACCACAGTGGAACGGTACTTCAGTGAGCTTCGTTACCATGGGACGATCACCAGGGACAGCTCCAATGTGACAACTGACAAAGATCATCTGTTTTGTAAAGTGCTCCCTTCATTTCAAGAAAATTTCCCAGACCAGCAGGACACAGGTAACGTTACGTGCAGAGTGACTGTTAGATAGTGCTACAACCTACTGAAGAAAATTAGAAAACCAGGATGGTATGACTTCCAAAATGACCTGACCTATGCCTCCTAGTATTTATAAATGCAGCAGGAACACAGAAAAAACCTCCTGCATCTCAATGGCAGAACACAGCACAAGTACTGACAGACATGGGAATGCTCCCGGTGACTACCGTAGCCTCTTTGGCCTGCACGCTTCTGTCCTTGTTGACTACCCTCCCGTACTCCTCCCCTTCCAATAGTGGATTTCCCAGCACCACAGCCAGGTCATGGTGCTCCTCCTCTCAAACCTCCCAGATTCTTACTATGGCCTACAAAACCCTACGTACGTGCTCTATGAACTGGCCCCTGCCAACAATGACCTCATCTCCAACTAGTCTGTCCCTTGTTTATTCTACTCAGTCACATCCTCCTCCACGAAGTTCCTTGTACACATCACGCACACTACTGCCTCACGGCCTTTGTACTTGTTGCTCCCACCACTTGACATGTCCTTCCCTCAGACATCCACACAAGTATAATCTTCTTATTCTTCAGGTGCTTAGTTTAGTCAAGAGTCCCCTTCCTGTCGAGGTCTTAGCTGTTCACCCTACCTAAAATTTTAACTCCTTCCCAAGATTTTATATCCCCTTTTCTGCTTTCTAAGCTTCTCTTTAATACACACATATCACCAGTATGCACATATTTTAGTTACTTATCTTGCCTCTCCTATGAGAATGTAAGTTCTAGGAGCCTTTAAATCGGAACTGTAAGAGTTATGTCAGAATTTTGAAATAGCTCTTTGTACAGTTTGGCTCAGTGAATAGAGCATCAGAACTGTGGACTGAAGGGTCCTGGGTTCGATTCTGTTCAAGGGTACATGCTGGGGTTACGGGCTCAATCTCCAGTAGGAGGCATACAGGAGGCAGCCAATCAATGATTCTCTCTCATTGTTGAAGTTTTTATCTCTCTCTTCCTCTCCCTTCCTCTCTGAAATCAATAAAAATAGTTTTAAAACATAGAAATAAAAAAGGGACCACCATCTAGTAACTGATTTCTACATGGCTTTCCCAGGGTGACAGGCTTTAAAGGAACTGGTACCTCATTTAATTTTCACAGCACTAGTCTCACTTTACAAATAAGAAAGTGGCCTAAAATAACTTTACTTCTGGAAAGTTCAAAAGTGGGCAAGTGGAATGGAAACCCTCAGTATAGGGTGAGTTACTTTTTTAAACACTGAGTTTGAAGTTGCCTTGCTTTCAGAACTTAAATGCAGTTTTTAAAGCTGTTAATTGGTCAATAATGTTCACCAATAGCCCATAATCTGGTCCTGGAAGGAACCTAGAGTCACCAATAAAACTTAAGAAACCACTATTCCTCGTGTCAAATCTCTTAATTCAAACAGGGAGATCACCTGCCCTCAGTGGTGGTTGTGTAGATTCTGGATGCTGGTAGACCTGCATTTCAGAGCCCACCAAGTCCTGCTGGAAACCAGGCAGCCTCCCACCAGATGGACAGTGGAGCCTGACGTACAGTCTCTTTGGCAAATGGCCAAGTTACCAAAGAGTAGGCTGAACTGTGAAACACAGATTAGCCCAGGCTTTAAAAAAAAAAAATCTGCTATGCTTTTAAAAATTGGAAAATATTCACTTAGCAAGTATTACATAAGAATAGACATTGAACTGATGAAACAACATAGGACACTATTGAAGAGGACACCAACATACATTCTAGTCCTTTTAGTCTTTGGTGATTTTACTCCCAAAATTATATCTCTTTTGGGTTGACTCTTGGTTTTGAAGATTCTAGATAGTTTTATAAGGTGTCAAAACCACGTAGTCTTTCTTGGCTACATGCTGCTTCTACTCAGACCCGAGAGATCCTGACTTACAATTGTTCTCTCCTTTTCCTTCCCCAATCCCGGACCCAAT